CAAAATTCACATCACCATGAGTTTCTCACCGAATAGCAGAATGAAGCCTGAATTGAGTGGGGATTATTCAGTTTCATGTACCTCGAGCTGTTGCACTGATAATTATACCCAGAAACCCTTGAAATACGTATAAACGTAGGAAACATTATTCACTATGGAAAATTTAATCACGAATTTGCGGCTTGCAGTGAGCACACCAGGATGATGCAAGGGATATTGCTGTTGTATGTAGTCGTGGGGGGCTTGAGTTTGCAACCGACAGTGCAATTTATCAGAAAGCTATAGGAAGCCCATTCGTAAAGGATTCATTGGCCGGAGACACGAGGCCACCCAGGGCCATTTCCGCAAATGAAATCGCACGAACCTCATGCTTAGAACCATTACACTCCATTCGGTATGACTTTAATTACTTTCAATTCCACGGTCAAAGTATTAAGACACGAGTAAAAAGATATTTGTCGTCTCATTTTCCCATAATTCCAATTTCACCATCAACTACTAGACAAATGCACGCGAAATCGCGAGACAAGCCATTTTCCTCACCCAAAAATACTTGATTATTTTTAAACCACCAAAATAATTTTATTGCAATGGTATATTGTAACGCGATTGAGGCGTTGTCAAAAATAATAAAAGACGGATCAATAAATAACGTGATGAATAATTTCTTGAATTGAACGACAGGAATATGAGGAAAATGATAAGATCTCGGTTAACATGAGGTGAACTTCGAGAGTGACGTTGAGTGACGATCAATGCTTATGTACATTGGGAAGAGGAATGACTCTTGACTGGTGTAATTGAGCAAATGGTACCAAATACACTGGATGGTAACCTTTGGATCAACAAAACGCCTCGAGTGACACATGTTCTCCCAGTATCTCTTCAGCTATTCACGGGCAATCACTGGAACACCTGAACCTCAACGCGAGTCTTGGGGAATGAAGGAGTTGTGTGCTATGGTGGGGTGTACGAGAGGTACTAGAAGAATGCAATGTTGAGCCACTTGTTGCTGAGGTGCTTCGAAACGCGATTAAAAATTCAAGCCCTTTCCCACGCTCGATCGCCCGTTTGAGATTGTTATCGAACCGCGATGCATATATCCCTCATTGATTGCCTTATGTCCTCCCCTAGTTTTCCTATTTTATTGGACTAACGGGAGTGGTCGCCATTGCAAAACTCCTAGCGTGTTTATTGTCTGTGGGGATATGTACTCCGAATTGATGGATTGTGTTTGCTCGTTGGGATATTGATATTTTCTCCTCTCCCTTTCTTTCTCCAATCGTTACTTTTCTCTCCAACGATACCTTTTTAAAACATTCCCCGATATATTTTGGCACTTTCATCGATCGCCACGTCAATACCATTTTCGATAATTTGAATATTGTCTCGAGATTTTTAAATCAAAGAATAACTAAATTGAGAAAAATTGCCAAAGAATTACTTGTCCACGTCGGATGTGTAATGTGGAATTCATTTTCTCCGCGAAAGATGGAAATTTCGATTTAGAGGAGAAAGATGGAAATGGATGGAAATTCCGTTGAACTTTCCCGGGGGGCATCTGCAATATCGCAATAGCAGTATAAAATTGCCATTTCCCGGCACTTATTAGCATAAATTGTGGCTAATAAACAACACTGAATATTGGAATCAGCGGCCGAATGGAAAAGTTTCACGGAATATCCATAGGACTTTCCAATATGATACGAAGTTTGCAGCGTGATTGGCCCCCAGGAAGATGAGAAACTGAGACCCAACGGGAGGGTTCGAATTATCAGTTAATTGATTTTGTCAAAGGGTCGGCAACTTCCGAGTCGAGTTTCATAACTCGTTGGACTTGAATTATGTGTTTCAGGAAATTTACAGAGTGTCGTGTAACAGCCGTCGGCCTTTCAGAGGTATCCTTTCACTCTCAAACGTGACTATAGACACCGTAACGAGCATCAATTCACGATGATGAACTCGAAAATTGACACTCCGTTTGATCATCCCCGCGGGAATACAGTCAAGACTATTTTCTTGAAAATTCTGCGCTAGACGCATTCCACCGCAACTGCAGACTGTGGTTTTACTCTGCAGACTCACTCTGCCGCAGGTACGTGGGCTCGATCGATCGTAATAACATCGATGCAGTTTCCCCGGCCGGGGTCGGGAAAACAGAAATGGAGAGGGCAGATGGAAAAGTGAAAATTTAAATAAAACATTCAGAGTGACAAACTAATTCCACTTGTTCTGCACAAACTATTCTTATCACACCCCATCTTCCACCCGTGGTTTTGTTACCAATTTTACCCGAGTCTTCTGCATACGTTTCTCCTATTACTCCGTTAGAACAATTCCATTTCAGGGGTTTTCAAACCGTATGAGTGGAAATTGCCCCCGGGGAAATTTTATCCGTCCCAGAAATGGCTATTCATTTCACGTGTATTCCGGCGATTTCAAGGTATCAAAGTACTTGGCTAAATTTTTTCCCATTGAAATTTACCGCAGCGTCTATTCAATTTTTGTATGAAAACGTAATAAAGTTAATGTTTGATTGAAAATTTTGCTGAAAGAGCGCGAAATATCCGTGGTTTTCACCTCACACCAAATCAGCTTAATCGATACATTTGGCTCGGTGAATCGGGGGTTAGATAATTACGGAATTAACTATTGTCGTGTTAGTTTAATGGGAATACAAGATTGCATCCTCTTTTGTTCATCAAGACAAATGATATCACTATTACCGCACTACGAAAGGTTGAGCACAAAGTGGTTTGTTCCATTACAGGAGTCAGCAAGTTGTGAGGGAATCTTTCAGCGACACTCTGGAGTCGAGTAGGAAGGTTAAGCGACGAGTGATCTATTCCAGAAAGTTTTTGGGAAATTATACAAGTGCTGAATAAGTCTAATTACAAGTTGACAGAAGCCGAGCTTTTCGGATGCAGAGGAGTATTTAATGGTATACGAAAGTTTAGGATAATTTGCCCCGAGTGAATCCAATGGCTTAGTCACAATAAATCCCCTGGATTTGAGGAATTAATAATATTTCGTGTTTCACAAATCTACTTCGGAAGATGAATTGTACGTATAGTGTTCTCGATAGTGGACAATAAGATCGTTGTGAGGATTCCAGGGAGACATTAGACCAGTTTACGATGTATCGTAAAGCGAAACAACTTCAAGAGGATAGAAGGGATCGTATAATTCCTAGGATATTTCTGCCTTCTTCGTTATCTCGGGACAATAGAACGTTGAGCTTCTGTAAATCATCCAATGGAAGAACAAGATCATTTCTTTTCCTCCAGAAGATAATTCTTCTGCATGCTATTTGAAATGTCCCGTAATGAGAGCTATTTCTTAAAAACACATGAAAGGTGAGGAAAATATTGGGAATAGTAGATGTTAACTCACAGCAGAGACGATTACCGTTGATGCACGTGAAGGAGTTCGTCCCGCTTTTCCTGACATTTGATACTCCGACTAGAAGCGGTAGGGAATAGTTTCTCGTTGCTCTGGAAAATTGAAACGTGAAGAGACAGCGACGGAAAAATTATAAAGAGAGATGAGGAAATTGTATGACTTGGCCTCTTAGCTTTTCTCTGGTGTAAAATGAATAAACAAATGAATGAATAAATCCATTTTATTCCGCCGGGGCTTCCGGTGGATTCTTCTTCCCTCGAGTTTGTGTTGTGTCTTCTTTCGTTGCTTTTTCTCGAGGAGCCATTTTCTTGAGGAAATGGGTTCATGGAGGGACACGTCTTCAGATGCGCCGGTGTTTTTCATTTGCATTTCAACCTCAGCAACAGATGTCAAAAGGACTTTATAGTCCTGGGGAGATACCGAGTGAGCGATTATGTGGGAAAACCCTTTGATAATATTTGTTTTCATTATAGCTTCGAATATCAGATTTAGTGGTCAACAAGTCTTGTTTAACGTTGAATTAAACATGATTATTTAGTCGGGGAAGGTAAAAACTATTCTTTTTATGTTATGTTACGACAATATTTGTCATCATTATAGTTTCAAATATCAGATTTGGTAGGCGTAAACAAATCCGTGTTTAATAATGAATTTGCATTGATAAAGCGAGGCCTGTAGTTGAGTACATCTGGAATTATGGGATGCAACGCGGGTATGCACATTCTGTGGAAAATGGAGATTTAATTTGCATTCACATTCCGATGTTGATAATATCTGGTATCGATAGTTGTGTACCGAACGCGATGCATCGAGGCACGAATTTCATTTTGTGAGAATATATTGATACGCTGGTAACCCGCTTTGGGGTTCTTCGAGGCCGAGAACAAAGACGACCTAAATGGAGAATACAATCGAACAAACGCGAGTTTGAAGGTGAAGTTATCATGTACTTTATTAGGTGAGTTGATAGCTGCAGGTTATTTTGAGTCGTCTTACATGTTAATGGTTGAATTTTTATGGGCGGTTGATGGTTATCCAACTCGTCAGATGTCTTGAAGGACGGGGGAAAATGGAGAGGCGAGAATGGTGATGAAATTGACTGGGAATTGAAATGTATCGTGACGTCAATATGTATCTAGAATATGTCAACAGAGGTGAGGTCCTGGTAACCGTCCCCTAAGAGGTATAATCCGATGGTAGTGGCCATTCCATTGGGCATCAGCCGAGTATGCAATCAGTAGGAACCTCTCGAGGAACACATTATTGGGTCAAGCATTAATAAACCAGCTGGTCATCTGCTTGCGTCTTAGATACTTCGACGTCGATTACTATTCACTATTGAGGAGTATTCGATTCGAGCTCTGCTAATCGTGTGGGTTCAAGGAATTTGTCAATGGAATTGGTATTGGTGTTCATGATATTCATGATATTGGAGACAGCTAGTTGCTTTTGAATTATTACCTTTATTTACGGAATAAATTAGAACACATTTTATTGAGTATTGGCAAGATTGAAATATTAGGAGCCATTCATGTCGCATGATGTAAATTGCGATATTATTGTTTCATGGCACGGATTTGGGAATAAAATTGATGGGTTCACTGATCCTCGTCCCAGTCGATCTTTCCGTTGACACCAACATGTCCTTCAGTCTTGCCTCCTTTACCTGTGGATGCTCCAGCTGATGCACCGACGCTTCCGTGGACATCGCGAGACTCTAGCTCAGGTTCATCCCATTGGATTTTTCCACCGACACCAATATGCCATTTACCTTTCTTGCCATGCTTTGAAGCTCCTATGCTGATGTGACCGTGGTGTTTGCGGGACTGCAGATCATTAAGATCGATCTCAGGCTCATCCCATTCGATCTTTCCGTTGACACCAACGTGTCCTTCAGCCCTGTCTCCTTTACCTTTCGATGCTCCAGCTGATACACCCACGCTTCCGTGGACATCGCGGGATTCTAGCTCAGGTTCGTC